CTTTTAATGATAGCTTTACCCAATAACATACACAGTACTCTACTAATTGTTATATAAATATTTCTTATAATATTAGTTTTACCCAATAACATACACAGTACTCTACTAATTGTTATATAAATATTTCTTATAATATTAGTTTTACCCAATAACATACACAGTACTCTACTAATTGTTATATATATATTTCTTTTAAGGATAGTTTTACCCAATAACATACAACGTACTCTACTAATTGTTATTTAAATATTTCTTTTAATGATAGCTTTACCCAGTAATATACACAGTACTCTACTAATTGTAATATAAATATTTCTTATAATGATAGCTTTACCCAGTAATATACACAGTACTCTACTAATTGTTATATAAACATTCCTTTTAATATCAGCTTTACCCAGTAATATACACAGTACTCTACTAATTGTTATATAAACATTTCTTTTAATATCAGCTTTACCCAATAATATACACAGTACTCTACTAATTGTTATATAAATATTTCTTTTAAGGATAGCTTTACCCAGTAATATACACCGTACTCTACTAATTGTTATTTAAATATTTCTTTTAATGATAGCTTTACCCAGTAATATACACAGTACTCTACTAATTGTAATATAAATATTTCTTATAATGATAGCTTTACCCAGTAATATACACAGTACTCTACTAACCGTTAGGTTATTTCAGAGAGACATGCTGTTTTTCTTCTTCCAAATATTATTCAATCATCTGTCATTCCTTAATTTCTCGTTCTCAGTTGATTGGTTTGAAACTTAGTTGGGTTATACCTTTGTCTAATAGGCCCTGATACATACTTTTTCTTTTCTTTTTTTTTGATTTAGAGTTTTTTAAGGATTTTATGGGGTTAAAGGTCAAACAACTAAAAAATGTATATTTTTGGCTCCTATGTACTTATATTTATAGCAATCAAGATGAAAATTGGCTCAACTATAAATTTTCATTTGCCCAACATGCTGACACATAAAAGTCTTTTATATTTTTAGGGGTCAGAGCATACAAAAAACATAATTTTGGGATTTTTGGCCAATTACTTAGCCATAGTTTGACCAATTTACATGGGATTTGGTACAAAGACACCTTCTTGCAGGTCCCAAGCAGTGATATACATAATTTTAGATGTTTCTGGTGTCAAAATTGGCCATGTTGGGATTCCATGCTGGAGACATGTTGCATACACCCACAAGTATTGGCCTCTTTAATTATATAAATATTTCTTCTAGTATTAGTTTTACACAATAATTTACACAGTACTTTACTAATCACTATTTAAATTCGTTTTGTGGCATATTTTGTATTCCTAAAATTGTGAATCAATCATACAGAAATTGCTATCTTTTGGTGTCGACTTTGAAGAAGAGAAAATCTACCAGACTAGTTTCTCTTGTAAATCTTTGCATAAGTTTAAGGTTTGATCTCTTGCTTCAAACAATGCAACAAAACTCCCAAAGCAAGGCTACTTTTGTTTAGGACCATTCCATTTTGATCTTGATTTGCACTGTATGAATGGTTTTCAATTTGTTCATGACATCTAGGACAGTCTGAACACTTAGTAGAAACAACAATAAATGTTCTCGGCTATTTCGTATGACTTGCATTGTTTGATGTTGATCAATCATATCTGAGCTTGTTCACCACTGAATGATGTAAGGCAATGAAAGTGGTTACAATAAGATCAACGGTAAATGTATTTCTTTTGCTTTACAGTTTTCTTGTCCTCTTTTGTATGGACTCTAGTACTTTTGGATGAAATCTCTTTAAAATCACTTAACTTCAACAGGAACCTAGAACATTTGTATTTCATACAAATATCATACTTTCCAACAATGCACTTGCAACTGAGACTAGGATAAACATGACTTTTGGACATTTTCCAGCTTATATTGACTATTTTTGTACTGTAAAAGGTCTTCTGTAAATAAACTACTTTGTAAAATTTAGTGGGTTTTTGCTAAACACTTCACAAAAATAGGGGGAAACTCATTTTCAAGCAGATTTCAGTGAAATAGGTGGATTTATGAGCACAGAAGTTGTATAATTAGAAAATTTCTGTATGGTCAACTCCCAATTTTAGGATTAAAAAGGTATGAATAAATATTATGCATTAATATGAATAGCTGAAAAACTATGTTGTCTTACATGTACAAGATATATACACTTTAATGATGTGTTTATAACCTTTTATAGAATTGCTAATCTGGAACTGATGTCCAAGTATGGGTGTGAAGCATGGAAGATGTACAACTCTCTTTTGGTACAGCTTTTACATCAGGCTCAAAAACAGCTTCAGGACTTAAGGTATGTTTTAGCATCATAAATTATACTTGGTTAATTATTTCCATACTAACATACCATATATACTGCCAAACAGATGTACTTGACTATCAGCTACATTTATTCTACGATAAAATGTTTTTCTTTTTTTAAATACTTGTCACACTTGATATTCATAGCTCTACTCTACATAATTTTGTTATGAGAAAGCTGTAGGTGTGTATTCTCACCTTTGTCTCACCCTCACGACCCTGTTAAGGTACCTTTCTTCCCTTCACCTTCTGTCAGAGACTCTACACAGTAACCCTGAGGTGTTTTCTCCTGGAATCCTTTATGTCCTTACTTTTACGTTGGCTCAGCTGTTGTCTTAAGGTTTGTTTGTTGTTGGACCTCTTTGGCCATGATGCAGTTTTGGCTTGGACCCGTCTCCAGGCTCCTTATCTGAGGGACCTCCGCATGGAGCCATTTTTGCATTGTCATGTGTTTGACTCGGTTCCTGAGTCTTTGGAGTCGTGGGTGGTCTTGGTCCATCAACATTCTACCCTTACTAACTTGGTAGCTAGTTTGTCGCAATTGGGACAGCACTGATTTCTTTCTCCTGCCCTTCTCCTTCCCAACCTCTTCCTGTCCCACCCTTTCACAGTGCTATGGTTCGATGATTTACTCAACGATGCATGATCTGCCAACAGAAGTACCGGTGACAATGTGGTCGGTTCAGTCCCAGTGAGGGTTTGTCTCTTGAATTTCATTTATCTGTGGGGAACTTTTCTCGTAGATGTCTGGGTTCACATGGTGCTCTCGGAGGGATATGTTGTCCTTTTACTCTCCCTTCGTCCATTATCCAGTGTTCCCTTCCCTTCTCCTGGGGATCCCTTGACATGCCAGAATCTGTCAGAGGTGGTTCAGGACCTCATCACACAACAGGCTATCAAACTAGCTCCACCAGGTTCACAGGGGTTTACTTCTGGCTCTTCTTGGTTCCCAAGAAGGCTAGGGACTGGCATCTTGTCATTGATCTATCCTGTCTCAATCAGTATGTTCACACTCATCGATTTACCTTGGAGACGTACCTTTCTCTTCAATGGGCATTTTCCCCAGGTCTTTGGATGACCAAGGTGAACATTTCCAATGCTTACTTACACATTCTTGTACCGGAGTGTTCCTGTCCATATCTTTGTTTTGTCCACTGGGGAATTGTGTACCAGTTTCGTGCCTTACCTTTCAGCCTGGCCTTGGCACCATATGTGTTTTGTTGCATTGTCCGCATTTGTGCTCGACATATTCATACCATGGGGCTGCGCTTCCGTGTTTATATGGATGACTGGCTTCTTGCTCGTTCCGATTGGGAATCGGCTTGTCACACTCTTCAGCTACAAGCCAAAGCTGCATGGGTGGGCTGATTGGTCAAATTGGAAAAGTGTTTCCTTTGTCCTACCCAATACTTTATGTATTTGGATGTTTTCTTCAACACCCATCTCCATGCACCGTCCTTCTGATTGCTCTTTACTGGCCTGCTCAGCCTTGGTTTCCTCTGTTGCTCCAACTGCAGGTGGTCCTTCCTCTTCCCTTCCTTCCTGATGTGCTCTGTCAACCCCAGCCACCAGCGCTCCATCCATGCTGTCTGTCATCCGTCTTCACGCCTCGCTTTTGTCAAGTCCTTGGGGAAGAGTTCCGGTTTCTCTTGCAGAGTAGTTTCACATTTAGCCTGTTCCATTCGCCCTTCTTCTTTGGGCTTCTATCAATGCAAATGGAGCAGTTATTGCTCCTGGGCTTCTCACACAACAGTTGCCTGTATCTCCAACTTTCTCACATGGCTTTTTGAGAGGGGCTCTTCAGTCTCCTCAATTTTGGGGTTTTGGGCGACATTATCCCATATTCCATCTTTTCCACTTCTGCAGAGTTTTTGCTTTACCTGTCTTTCCATGTTTAATCGTTCCTTCCAGCTCTATCAGCCACCAACGCATCTGTCATTTCCAGACTGCGACATTAATGTGGTCCTTCATTCCCTCACTTTACCACCATTCGAATTTCTGTCTATGTGTTCCCTGTTTCACCTCTCTCCTCCTGGTCTGCGGGTGTTGTACATCGGATATTTTCACCCTCATCGTTACTAGAACCTTGTACCACTCCTCCTACCTTATCCTTTATTCAGATTGTGCTTTTTTTTCCTCAAGACCTCTGTGGCTCGAGAAGGTCTGTCCTGTCCATGCTCTCCATTGTTATATTGCTCGCATGGCTTTCTACCGGGGTCCTCGTTCCTACCTTTTTATCCCTTGGCAACCTTCCTCATCCCATGATCTTTTGCTGATTATGATTACCTGACCAATTGGGTTTTACATTTAATCTAGTTGGCCTATGCCTCCTTGTCTCCTTCTCAGCATGATCTCTTTCACATTTCCTCACATCAAATCCATCATCTTACTTCTCCCTTGTCTCTCATCTTCATCAGCCATTGAAAGAGATTCTATGATCAGGCATGTGGACAACTCTGCACACATTCATCTCCCACTGCCTACATCACATTGCTGTTTCTGCTTCCTCATGGTATTGCCTGCTGTCTGTGGCTATTCTACAGACGTTGGCATGAGGTAGGTCCTTACTAATGCTTTCTTTTCTTTAATGTCCCCTGCTTCAGCGTCAATTTGGATCCCTCTCTGTGGGGAGTGGTGCCTGACCAGGTATTCTGTCTGTACTCAGAATGGGTTCCACTTCAATGGCTATAATCATTTGCAGACATCTGGCTACCAAATCCATGCTGTAAGCCATGTTGATTCTTATACATTTTCCATAGCTATGTATAGTCACCCTTGAGGTGGAGTGTTTTACAAGGTCACTAGAGTGTAAATTCCTCATGATAATTGCATCATAATATGCCCGTCCCAGACTGTACAACCCATGGCCAGCATGGGTAAAGCAGAAGGGGATTGCTGCCCATCCCTGCTATGCCTAGATGGAATAAATCGGTGTGATCTGTTTTTCAAAATAGGGTTTCGTAATCACCCATTGCACTGTCTCAGGTGTTGCAGTCCCTCCGGACTCTCCACCGCACTCCCCCCTTTCTACGAGTGGAGTAGGGGAGTCCTTACCACTTACCAGTTCCTAGTCGCTGGGGTGGTTGACCATGGAGACAACCTGCTGGATGGGTTCCACAAAGATGGCTATAACCATTCAGTTCAGAGTAGGACGGTAGTGTTCTGCCAGTGTAGAGGGAGTTACAAGATCCTCCAGATGAGTAATTATTTCCCGGAGTTGAGACACCAAAATGCAGTTCACCCCTCTGATTGGGTGCCCTCCTCCTACCCTCGCGTGGATGTTGGTACCTAGTGAGTGAGGTTTTGGAGATCGAGTGAACCAATCACATAAGTCCTCACACATGTTTCAGTTGTCCATCTTCCCCTCTTGACTTGTCTTCTGTGTTATGGGTCCCAGAAGGTCTATGTGGCCTGTTTCCACTTCTGTCCTGGGTTTTCCCTCGTTTGGTCAAGGTTGTTACTGACCTGGGGTCATTTCTAGCTGGTTTCATGGTCGTGAGGGTATGCTATGGACTTCTCTTGGATTTTGGGTGATACATTCCTGGATCCCTGGCATTAGGCTACCTTGTGAGATCCTGGAGTAGAATGTTATGTTCATTCTTGACTCTGGGACTTGAAGTGAAGACAGTATGATCCTCATCTCACCCTTGAAAGTATGTCGGTACCTAGCGAGTGAGGTTTTGTAGGTAGTTGACTTACCGAATACCATCCATCACGCCTTAACCACTCTACACCATAGGACACATCTTCACTTGCCCACTTCCATCGTGGGACTGAGTGATTCTGATTTCTGTTTAAGATCACATTGCTAAATTATCCGGATGTGCTCCCTTTAATGTTCTGCCGTGTATGGTCTTCCTGATCATGTCGATGTTCATGGCAAAGAGATATCTGGCTCAGATGTGGTGCGGTACCCCTCCTCAGATCATCTGATCTGTTCCTCTCATTTTGGGGGTGATCTCTGGATGCTTCCAGAGGATACGCCCGTGTCTCTCCTCCATTTCAATGTGGGATTCAAGCTAATCTTGTGAGAGGAGGGAAGAGTACCTTATCGGAAATTATAATTTTACTAAATGAAAATGTATATCCAATAGGTACTTTTTTCTACTCATACTTCCCACCCGTCCTCCCCACAATCTTCCAGTGCTCATGTCTTCTGCCAAACTCTGAAGTGATAGTTTGGTAGTGGTGCGTAGAGGGAGTAACATGCGTCATGTGATATTAGTGCTCTCATATTGGTGGAGAAGTGATACATGATGATTTGCTTGAGAGATGTGTTAGAACTGTGGAACTGAAAAAGTTTGCATATAGAGGACAGCACAAAACAAGAAAAGCTAATCTTGTGAGCGGAGAGAAGTACCTATCGGAAACACATTTTCATTTAGGAAAATTATAACTTCAGGCATAGGGCAATGTTGAAACATATGTCCCTATTATTTCATTCACTGATTCTGGAATTTTTCATGTATTAAGACTGTTTTGTTCATTTTGTATATTTTTCCAACTGCTCTCCTGTTTTGTTTTCTAATCATTCTGGGTTGCCAGTGGTTTAGTTAAAGTTGATAGTCTTTAACTCTCCCTGTCTTTGTTATTGCAAAGATCAAAGATACTAAAACTGTCTACCACTGTCATTAATTTTGACCTACTATTTTTTACATTGTGTTATTTTTTTAATTTATGACTTGCACAACTGTATTCTTTAGTGTTAAATAACTGTCCAGGTGTGACCCATCTTCAGGTGGAATCTAACTTCAAAGTAGAAAAGTTTCCAGAACAAATTCCCAAATTATTGTTTCTTTTAAAAGAGATTGAGTGTTTGGTTGAACCACAAAAAATATTCCAGAAATGGCAGTCCTTTGGAACTTCCAAACCCAGAATTAAATTTTTTGTTTCTTGGCATGGGAGGACAATACTAGATGCATTCCGGTTTTGTTGAAATGTGTTCTTAAATGGTAGTGGTTTTTGTATATCTTTTTGTGCAACAGTTATACAAGATTTTAAATATAAATAATGATCATTTGTTTGTTAGAATCACATCATTGAAATAAAATCAATTCATCATTGAAAAAAGTAGTTTAAATACAACTTGTTTGAGTATGGATAAATTATGATTTGAATAGAATTTTTTTTATCATATAGAAATAGATGGTATTACTAATATAACAGAGATAATACATATAGAGATAGTTGGTAGTACTAATACAACAGAGATAATACGTATAGAGATAGATGGTATTACTAATACAACAAAGATAATACGTATAGAGATAGATGGTATTACTAATACAACAGAGATAATACGTATAAAGATAGATGGTATTACTAATACAACAGAGATAATACATATAGAGATAGATGGTATTACTAATACAACAGAGATAATACGTATAGAGATAGATGGTATTACTAATACAACA